CAGATGAAATCAGTTCATCAGTATTCAGTGTGAGATGACTGAAGTCACCCTCAGAGAATCTGAACACCTTCCTAATCATAAAAAGGGTTGTCTTCTCCATAGGGGTAACTCCATCAGGCTGGTGATATAAGAAAGATTGTACCTTGTCAACTATTTGGTCATGGAATCACTAAAGTGGTGACTTGTATGAATAACTAATGATCACTTTAATTTTCAAAGCATCTTCCAGACAAACCACTTGTACCTTTCATGATAGACCTTTGTTTTTCTTTCTTTTGCAGGAAAAATCAAGGATCTCTTTCCCGAAGGCTCTCTTGACAGCTCCACCGTTCTGGTTCTGGTGAATGCCATCTATTTCAAGGGGCAGTGGAATGAAAAATTTGATCCAAAAAAAACTGAGCAGGGGCAATTTTGGCTGAACAAGGTATTGTCTATTTTTTACTTATATAATGCAATGTAGCTAGACATAGAATGTTCCATTTCAACACATATTTGATTAATGTACAACTGCAGGTAGAAAACAGAATTTCTCACAGCTGCACTTTCTTGTTTTATTTTTTACTTTATTTAGTTAGGAACCCTTAAAGAAACTCTTCTCTCTAACTCACAAATGTCCCAGATTATCTCTTAGAAAGAGGATGTGTTTGCTATCTCAATAATATTATTTTTTTAACTTATGCCTCCCTTGGCACTTGTTTGCCACACTAATTTACTGCAGGATACAAGCAAACTTGTCCAGATGATGAAACAAAGCAATATGTTTAAGTTCGCCTCACTGGAGGACATGCAAGCCAAGATCCTGGAAATACCATACAAAGACAAAGATCTGAGCATGGTGTTGTTGCTGCCAAATGAAATAGATGGTCTTCAGCAGGTAAAACCTTGTATCTACAATTCTTCTTTCTATTGCCCAATTTCCTTGTAGGACAATGCTTGTGTGGGCTGTTTATGGAAGCGGTGCTCACAGCCCATGGGTGATGTCTGAAGGGGTTCAGGAATAGATACTTTGTCTCTTCTATGAATACAGCCTGAAGGAGAGGTGTTAAGGAGAACCTAGCATTCGGTCATGTCCCAAAAAATAAATAATATCTTAAGTATCACGTGTGTGTGATATGGAAAAATATATAGAAGTTTGTAGGATCATGGGTCCCATTAACATTCTGATGAAACCATGAATGTCAGTTCAGGAAAAATACATATACCTTGGCACACACATGGGCTATTTTGCAACCATAGGAACCTCAGATATATTCCAATTTATTCACTTGAAGACCAAAAAACTAAGACTTTGATGTAGGTGACACATGGAAAAACATATGCAGGTTCACCCAGAAACAAAAGCAAGCAAATTAAAGCACCAATGGGTACTATTTTGCATACTGACTCACAATGAGTTTGTGGACAGTAGACAAATAGATTTATCTTGATTTTCACTTCTCAGTTTAGAAGTAGTCTATCCCTAAGAGCTCCAAGTCATTTGCACCCTCATTCCTGTGAGAGAGAAAAAAGAGAAATTTTCCTTTTAGCATTTTATAATGATTAAAGATAATGTGTAAAAAATATCAATAACAATACCTGACATATTGAGGACATTCCAAAAATGGAATATACAATCCCTATAATAGTAAAGGATGCTGCCAGAGTTGCAGTGAGCTTGCCACACTCAAAGTATATACTGTGGCAACACTGGCAGGGGAAGTCCTCCAGGAAAGTAGTCTGGTGGGATATGTGAATAGCCTTTACTATCTCTTTCCTCCCACCCAGCAGTCCTCCTTATCAATAACATTAGGAGCCCCAGTCCTGGAATTTATCCTCTGCTAATTAGTCTAAACAAGGCAAAAGCATTTGGACCAAAGTGTCTAAAAGTAATGAACATTTCAAAACAAGGAACATTGGTGCAGCATTGTATTGCCAATAGTTTAGCTTAGGGGCTGACACACAGTAAATACTTTAAAAATATTAATTATGAAAAGATATATACATTGACTATCAGTTTAATGGCAGGATATAACAATTTAAACTTGATTCAAGAAATATATAGCTATATGGAGATGTTTACAAATAGGTCAAGCAACAAAAAAAGAATAAAAGTAAGTTGGATGCTATAAATTCTAATAAAAATTGTACAAAAAACATTAACTAGAAGAGAACTATTTAAAATGTAAACATACAGTGGACAGGCAGTTAAGAATGGAGGTATATATTTCATCTTTTACAAAATAATTTTATTTAGTGGTTCTATTGCTTTATATATAATACAGATGATTAGGTTTATTATATATAATATGGACTTAGATATTACTATCTATTATAATATATATATAACTGAATCTCCTGTATTCATATTTGCTGGAACATTTTAATCCAATGCTCAGTTTTGTTCAATGTCCACTGAGAATCATGTCATTTGTTATTTTTTCCATCATTATAGCTTGAAGACAAACTCACTGCAGAGAAATTAATAGAGTGGACGAGCTCACGGAATATGAGCATGAGTCATGTGCATGTTCACTTACCTCGGTTCAAAGTGGAACAAAGCTTTGACCTCCAGGTCACTATGAAAGCCCTGGGGATGGTGGACGCCTTCAGTTCAGGGGATGCCGACTTCTCGGGCATGTCAGGAAGTGGGGGTCTCGTGATATCTGCAATCGTACACAAGGCCTTTGTGGAGGTGAATGAGGAAGGTACAGAGGCTGCAGCTGCTACTGGCGTAGTAGGTTCTATCACATCAGTACCAAATTATGAAATGTTCCATTGTGATCACCCCTTC